ATACACATATTAATTACCTAGTTACTAGATTCTAGTATTATATTACGAAATTAACATAAATAAAACTATGTACTAAGGGCGATGCTAATATAAAAACACAATTAAATTAGATTTATATATGAATTGTCGTTCAATTACTTTCATAACTCAAAATGTATTTCAGTGTACAGTATATGACAACAATTTATATATAATTATCATGAATAAACTATTATACAATAATTGGTGCATGGTCATTTAAATTGAGTTTAAATATGAGAAACATCTCGAAACGTGACAAACAATTGGTGACATTAGTGTGTGTTATGGGAGTCCTATACCTGACGGTCCAACTCATCGCACACTACGTTAGTGACCGGACTATAGTGAAGGTAGGGTTGGCTCGACCACCGGCCCTCACCTTACGCTACCGGCTCGTAGAGCGCCCGAAGTTATGGGAGTCCTATACCTGACGGTCCAACTCATCGCACACTACGTTAGTGACCGGACTATAGTGAAGGTAGGGTTGGCTCGACCACCGGCCCTCACCTTACGCTACCGGCTCGTAGAGCGCCCGATTCCGGTGCCCAAAGGGGTGTTCACGAAAACACCAGTTCCTGTGCGCGAACAGAGGTCTCGTATTGTGATCGCACCTACACCTAAAAGTATTACTATTATAACATTACAGACCTATGTTTGGCAGTAATACTGCGATTCTGGTACTGATTTTCATGTCTTAATTCACAGATCCAGTCGTCCATCAGCTGTGAAGACATGTCTGTCCACCGACTCTTGTGATCAGTTCTCAAGGCCTGTATCTGCAGTGACGGCCTATTTATGAATGACATCCCATTATTTTGATGTTGAACAGTGGGTATTGGTTAACGATTTTAAATTTTATCATATATACAATATATTGATTAATAATTTTTGATTTTTATTTTTAAGTTTTCCACGCATTTGTCACTATATTATTGATTTAGAAAATATAAATCATTTGTTATTAATGAACTGTTATTACAATAAAGTCTATGATATTATTTTATCCTGTATTTGAATATAAATTGTTAAATAAAGTACAGAATTGTTAATATTAATAATATAAGAATATTCTCAATGTTTGTATTTTGAATCTTATGATCAAATGAATGATAATATAATAAATAAAGTTTTTCAAGCACAAGTTTGTATATTGATTTACTGTAATTAAATTGTTTTTCACTCGCATTTAAAGTTAATTATCTCGATATTAATGAACAAAACGATACATTATATTATGATATATGATCTAGTACAGTATTAAGAAATTAATATAAATACAAAGGGCGATGTTAATTCAAAAACAACATTACATTTGGATTTATATAAAATAAGTTTTAAAATTATTTTCATAACTCAAATTGTATTTCAATGTACAGTATATGTAATGTAATGTATTTCAAAACATCTAATCGATGGATTTACTGAACAAAAAAAGTATAATATTATGACATTTGATGCAAAATATGAAACAATGAATTGATTGTGTAATTCCTCATCAATTAATACATATGTATTGATTAATAGATTAAAATTAGTTAGTATTTAACAATGGTTATTAACATATAGTTATTTGCTGTGAATATTATTATAATTTAAAACAATTCCTACGAATAGTAAATCAAAATAATATTAACCATTCATTCATTCATTCATTCATTCATTCATTCATTCATTCATTCATTCATTCATTCATTCATTCATTCATTTGACGGCTAATTGTGTCTCAATTCATAGATCTGTTGGTCATTGAAGTGGATCACAGGTCTACCACTTTGACGGACCGTAAATGCACTCAATTTATGACTACTTCTCATAATAAATGCCTCGAAATCCGATTTCTTGTAGTTGTTGTCTTCATCGGTGGTAGTAATGGAGAGCACCTGTAGTTTCCGGTGATTAGTCTCAATGCCGGTAAACGCTGTGTTGTGTAATCGCCACAAATTGAGTGTTAAATGAGTCAATCGTTTGCAGGCATTAATGCCATCAAACATACGACAATCGGTGACCACTTCGGCATCGGGTGTCAACCTTAACGTCAAATCCAGTCGACGTAATCGCGGCATAAATTTCATGGCATTCATGACATCGACACTCAGTTTCCATGAGTTGGACTCTAAATGCAGTGAAAATCGTGTCAAATGCCGACACTTAGTGCCGATTATATGCAACGAGTCGTACAGAGAGTGTGGGACCGGGGGTTCGGCGCACCAGAAATTAAGTGTCAGTTCCCGGAGTTGTCGTAATCCCGCGATTTGTGCCATCAATCCAATGACATATCCCATCGATAGAGTGGTGAAACACAAGACATGAAGACTTTTCAGTGACTTATTATTGGCGACAAAAGTGGCGAACATTTTGTTGAAAAAGTCATCCGTTATTGTGAACGCAAATGACATTAACTTCTGAGCCATTAGTCGATTGTCTGGAGTGAAGACATCAGTAACTGAGCCTTCAATCGAAAGGTGACGCAAATGATGGCAATACTGGAGGCACCGGGAGTTTGAGGGATGGACTACGAGTTTGTGTAGTTTTGGTGCAAACTTTTGAACCCAATTAGTGACCAAATCGTCAAAATCGCCAAAACAGAAGTCAATTCGTGTGAGACGTCGACAGTAATCATCGGACAGACCATCGATGGCCGACAACACTGGTCTCATATATGATTCATAGTTTAATATATGATAGCAATCAATGGTCTGAATGTTGGGACACTTCTTGAGAATATCAGTCAATATATGGGTTTCAGAGGATCCACACTTTGCGCGCATTTTGGCAAACAGTGTGTCAGTGATAGTGAGGACTTTGATAGATATGTGAAGACATCTCTGGAACTGTTTGGACAGACATTCCCTTCGGAAGTGCTCTTCAAATGGCAGATAACTCAACAACAGTTGACATAAATCATCGCCAATACGATCGAAAGAGTCTTTGCTATAGATTTGATCCAAAAATACATTCATTTCTATACTTTTGACACCAATTCAGAGATAATTCAACAAAACCTGAACTCAAGTGAAGACTTAGAGGAAGGGGTCGTCTGTGAGACCACTAGTGATGTGTTAAACCGTTGAGTCATATCGAGGCTACCGGTGCTGTCCTTCAAAACAACTGATCCATTGGTGACCGCATTGTCTCCACTCATGTCATCACAGACTCTGAGATCTGAAAAGAGATATCGTTTGAGACACGAATTGATTGTGAGATGAGTTGAGACCCGAAGAGTCGCTTCCAATCGCTTCCATGTCTTCAATGTCTTCGAAATGATCACAAAAAACACAAATATTTTTCAACACTTTTCACTCAATGTTTGCAAACAATCGATACAATCGTTACGATCGATACCATCGATGTGTCGGTCGTTGCATACAATACACACCCGTTATAGTGAACACTATTTCATGAAATATTCATTAAAATTGTAATAAAATTGTAACATGGACAAATAAATTAGTTACATGTATTATAATATAATGTATTATAATAATGTATATTTAAATACAATTGTTAACAACTCATTAGAAATTGTATTCAAGTTTTCAATGACTACTTAGTTTTTGACTTATCACCTAGTTACAAATTACTGTTTTCGATTTTAAAATTACCCTGATAATCAGTAATCATTAATTCATATAATTTTTAAATCAATAAATAACACTAATTTGCATTCAAATAGCAATCGCTGCGTAAACATACAAACAATGGTTAGCACTAACCCTGGTTAAATATAATGTATCAAAACTAATTACCAATTAAGTGAATGTGTTTATTAACAACCATTTCATGTGAATATTATTATTTGAAAATTATTCCACTGATTGGTAAGAGATAAATATAATCACTTAATGAGCCTGCATATTACAACAAGATAGCCCTAAAAGGCCAGGTGTGTCGGATCGGCTTTGGTTAAGCGCGTGAAGTGTACAATACCTGTGCACTTAAAACATACCTGTCGGCCAATAGGTCGTTACACCTCACGGTATTGTCCACTCGCGTGGCCACCACTCCGACCAACAGCACCAGTGTTGTTGAGTTAAAGGGGGTTTCCAGAGGTAGACGAAGAGGTTTAAAACACAAGTTTATAACAATAGGTTTTTATTAAACACATACTGTAAGTGAGAAGTTATACATAAAATAGAGTTCAATGGCTATTAGCAGAGGCTTAACAGCACTCTCTGTGTGAAGAGAGTGATAGCCAGCCAGAGAGAGCCCCGAGTGTGCGGTTTGTATTTGCTTATATAGAAGCACTACTCTGGGAATGGGAGGTATCGGCATTCCAAAGGGATTAGAAGTTAGCCAATAATGACCTAATAGTGTTTTCAATGCAGTGTCCGATTAGGCGAATGGGCAATAGGCCATTCGGCCGATAGTTCAATGGGTATGTATACCCATAACACTGCAATATTATAGCCTTTATAAACAGATTTGTTAAATAAAATTGAGGTCTATTTAGCTTGCTTATTTAGTACAACTAAATCAAATACAGTATCTAATAATATTTTAATGAATTACAGTATATTAATTAATGTGTGTACTGTAACTATAGTTTAACATTAATCACCGTAACAATTAGTGAACAAATGAACATAGCTGAGTTTACAATTAATAAGTAACATCAGGTAATTCAGTTGAGTATTGATAACAATTAAAATCATATAATAGTTTTGTTTCAAATGTAATTCATTAGTGAAACTCATTCTCATATCTCATACCATCTTAGCCCTGATGGTGGTCACAGTGTTGACCCGAAAACGTTTGGCAAATAACTTAATTTTATTTTTAAATCCATTTTCTCTGATACTATAAATAAATAGTGAAAACTTAAACTAAATAATAGTTTTGTTGATATAATTAACATTTATATTTTATTTTAAATATCATAACTGATACCTATTCAACAAAACGATTACAAGTTTTTCAGTCAATATTTTCATTCAAAATACGAAGGAATCGTTTTAAGACAAAAGGCCCGCAACGACAAAGGCTTACAGACTAAATGGCGCACAGCCCTCAAGTTTTACCAGCCAATAGGCCTACAATCTAAAAGGTCTAAAACCCAAAGGGACAACAGGCTTAAAGATCTTATGTTAAACTTAATTTTCAAAATTTTACCTTTCCCCTAAATCAATTTCTATATTGTAAGTATAGTTTTGTTAAACTTTGACATTTGTTTTGTGAAAGCCTTTGAAATTGTTTAAATAATTTAATTATTACTTACTATTCATGATAAATGCAAATGAATACAGTATGTTTATTTAAAAATCTTATTTTTTACTCCTTATAATTAATGCCTTAATAATATCTTTAATAGATTTTTTGCACATTTGAATAATAATAATTACACAGATTATTTTAACAAAATAGGCTGTTATGAAATATTAATAACATTGTCATGGACACTTTATTTTATATTCAATAATTTATCATAATACAAACATTAAAAATAGTGAATCAATTAGTGTAGTCAAAAGTTAATATAAGTTTTTGATTAGTTTCGTAATCATTATAGCAATTAATACATATAGGAATCAGAGTACCCGGATTAATATTTGCAGCTAATAAACAGTGATATATTGTTTTCAGATTTCATATACAATTAGCAATCATACACTTAATAAGTGTTTTATGTGTTTATTAATGTATTGTTTAGCACTTCTGTAGTATTGTTAATCAGTGGATTATAATTAATATTGTAGAGGGTCACACACCGGCAATATTGAGTATGAGCACCGGGATTATATTTAGTGTTAACAAACTTATTAATAATGATCTATGATAATAAAGTTACTATTAATACAGTAGAATTTGATGTTAGACTAGTTTATAAGAAATAGTTTTTCATTTAAAACCGCAAACAATTCAGTACTGAATATAACTATTTTATGCGACAATAGGGTTATCCGAGTCCTTCATAATAAACATTATTATTATTCAAAATATTAATTGCCTTTCAATTTCCAACCTTAAGATGAATGACAATGTTTTGTTATTAAGTAAAAATAAATTATTTATTTAATACAGTACTTCATTGCAATAAATAAATTTTAAAACTCAATTCCAGGCATTAAGTTAAATGATTTAACATGGTAGTATGAGGTATGCATAATATCTAACATTCTACTAGGTGAGTTTAGATTTATACGAAATAATTTAATATATCCATGGTTGACATGATACGCTACCTACTGTAATAATAAAACCACCTTGCTGTAACTTTACTCAAACACAGCTTTTCAGTACTATATTGTGTGGCTATTATATGGGCTCTAATGGCACGCTTTGGGACCTGATTTCTGGTGACATTTAGTGCCATAGGTTTGGTTCAAATAGATGGCAAAATACAATATAAAAGCCTATGACAGACACGCCTAACCACATGCCTACCAGTCCCCCGATGTTGGACACGAATTCAATGAACTCGGTTTCGGGAAAGTATGTAGCGTGACCAGGGTCAAGTATTCCGCCTTGACTTTCAAGTATTTGAGGGTCCAGTCAAGGATCAAGGGAAGGGTAAATGCTTGACATTATAAGGTCAAGTATTTGCCAAATTGATATAATATGACAAAACTTTGTAAATTATATGTTAAAAATTTTGAAAAAACAGAAAGTGAATGCACATAATAGTGATAAATGTTAATTACTTGAAAGATAACATAAAACTGCAAATTTCACGAACCTTTCGTACATTTTAAAATAGTTGTTTCCCATAAATGGGTAATTTTATTATTTGTTATAAACTTCTAATCAAGAAATAATATTTTTAGATACAAAACCCTTATAATTATTATATTAAGATTACTTAAAATTAAATAATATTTTATTTCTAAACTGTATTGTATTTATTTATTCAAGATATCGAGTTTATTGATTTTATATTAAATGTTGAATGAATGGCGAAAACTGTGTGGAACAAATATTTCTTCAATAACATAATTAATTGTTTATAAAAGTAAAATTTAAGCAATATTTGCAAATGGTGATAAATTTTTCAATACATTAAAATAAATGTCATTAAAACTTAAATAAAAATTAAGGTCAAGTATTTTCTAGTATTTTTGTGTTATTTTCCAAGTTATACAAGTTTTCGACCTGGTCACACTAAAAGTATGCCATCGACTGGTCGTGCAGTCGGTTATGCTTGACATCAATGAACGCGTGTTTACGCCAATGGGATGTCCTATCAATGAGTTTCGCGACTTTCATATCCCAATCAATACCTGAACCGACACTCGAGGGGACAGGCGTTCAGTCGTTTTGAGTTATAGATTGACTTATTTCGTGACAAACAGTCTTTGAGGTATTGGTTGGCATAGGATTCCCGACAATACCGGAGGCCTTGTCTAGCGTTGAATAACTGGCTTCCGTAAAAGGCTTTCCGTTTAAACACGCAATCAGTTCCGGAAATATCTTTCACGGCTTTTATGACACAACGACTTATTAGATCGCTTCTCATATTTATGCGGTTGGAATGGATGGTAGACATCCCTGTCCATGAATAGCTAAAAATATTGTTTTGAGGGTATGTTAGACATAAAGAAAAAGAGATTATGAATACATTTATTACTTATTTGATGTCTCAAAAGATGTATATTATTTTGAAACAAATGTCTTATTAGTTTGATTTATTGAAAAGATTTAGTTTTAAGAATTACATTATCATTGTATTATTATTGTATTATTATTGTACTGCAAATATTAATGTGTTATTAATAAATAATATTAAACAGGATATGACACAAAACTTGTCATCATTTCTATAAAAGTATTGAACGAATTTATGAGAAATATTTCTGAAATAACATTATGTGTTATATTATGAGTTAAATAAAGTTATTTTTATTTTTTAAATTGAAATGGGTATTTTACTTACAGTGAATTTTGAATTAGAATTAATCTATTAGTATGATAAAAATACCATTACAATCATAGTAAATAAATATTTATTATTAACAATATATATAATTAATAGTGCCTTTGTTTGTAATGTGTTTTATGGTTAATTAAATTTCTTTTTAAACAATTAATTCATTAATTATACGCATATAATAATCATTTGTTAATTGTGTGTAAAATATGGGTTTAAAACTTACGACAAACAAAAGACCAAAATCGGGAGTGAAGTCCAGTAATAGCCGATCCATACATACAAGTGAAGTGAGGCCTACAGAACACGAGTCCAATGATTCACACAATGAAACACTTGTCGACGAAAATAGACATAAAAATGAAGAAAATATTATTAAATCGATTCAATTGTTTCATGTTTTCGACGACGAGAGAGGATATAATGTATTGTTTGTAACAAATGATGACATGGTTTACGGTTTGGGATCTAATTATTGGGGATCTCTTGGTTTGGGACACAATTCATACGTCAATGAAATCCAAGTGATCGACAGATTGTGTCACAAGAATATCACACAATTCTTCAATGGATTGGACTTTGTGTTAGCCCTCACTCAAGATAATTGTCTCTATGTTTGGGGTAATAATGATAAGGGACAGTTAGGTATGGCACACAAGAGTCCGGATCACTTATACGTAAAACCGGTACCTTTTGATCCCCAATACATTGATAATAAAACTATTAATCAAATAAGTTGTGGATTTTATCACACAATGGTCCTCACGAGTGATGGCTATGTCTATGGATGGGGTTATAATATATACGGACAGTTAGGTTGTGGAACAGACAGAGATATACAAAAAAGAGACACATTTCGAGTGAATTTCAATCCTAATCACAAAATGAAAAGCATTTATTGTTGTGATTACTCGACATTTGCCATCACATCCAATGGACAAGTGTTTAGTTGGGGTCGAAATGATTGGTATAATTTGGGACACAATTCATCGGATAATATATGGAAACCACAACTTATTGAAGACATGACTGGTATTAAGACTATTTGTTCCGGTGGTGGCTTCACTCACTTCTTATCAAACGATGGATTCATTAGATTTTGTGGTCGATATAGAAATGAAAACAACGAATATTTGTTACAAATGTCACCAAAATTATTTAAAACTGATAAGAGGTTCACAGAAATGTATAAAATTGAATCATTTAAGGAAAAATTATGTTTGTTTAGAGCAATAATGAATGGGAAAATATATGATATTAGTGACAAACCAATGGATATGATAAATGAAATAAATTATACAAATTTCTTCGACTGTTTCACAAATGAGTCTCAAATGACTAATAAAACCATTAATTTGTGTGATTATAAGGAATATAATTATAAGAATTGCAAAGAATTTATTGCAAAATGTTTGGATTATTTGGATAAAGTATTTTCGTCTATAAAAGAGTTATCAAACAATGGTATGAATTGGGTTGAGGTGTCATTCATAGAGTACGTACAGCCAGTAGTTACTGACTTCATGACTAACACATTGTTATCGATAGTATTTTTTATTAACAAATTGCAACATAACGCTCGCATGTTTGATTTGATCAAGATCATTATTGAGTATTAACTTTTTTTCTGTATTAGTAGATAAATAAGCAAGATTAATCTAAATTTATGCAAATGTCCTTGAAATAAGTTAAATAGTTCATTTTACAAATGTCTCATTTCGAACGCTAAATCCAACTCATTATTATTTAAATTTAAAGAAGTTTCTAATATTTAACCTTTCTAAACTAATTATTTTAATTTAATTTATGCAAAAATGTATAATTAATTAAATAAACTGTTAGTAAGCTTCTGACTTACTCGTCTCCTTTGAGTACTATTGAATGACATTTTAACAAAACGGAAAGAATGAATGGATTGATTTAATTTGTTTTATAGTTGTTTCCGAAGTGAATGAATACAAGAGTTTGTTCGAAGAGTTGCATTCATTAGGTTCGGGAGCTTTTGGGGAAGTATTTG